GGCGGGGCGCCCGGCAGCTCCTCTCGCTCGGCCGGTCCTGGCCTTCCGGGGGGTGGTGGGGTTCCCACGACCCCTCCTCCCTGGGTCGGGGGTTTGCTCGCTGAGCCCCGCTTTCTCGCTCCCCGCCAACATCCGGTGGCCGCCCGGACTGAAATCGCTCGCGCCCGAGGCTGGAACGGGACTGGCGACTTCGCTGTGCCGGGGCCTGCCCAAGCAAGCTGAAGCATCTGGGCTGAGTTGGTGCAAGCTGGGCAGGTTCTGGTAGCTGGAGCCGGGGCGACAGTGGGAGGGCCGCCTTTCTTTACAGCTCTCTCTTGGAGGAAGGGTCGGGGCGCGTGACGGCAGGGGCTGTGTGTGGTTTCGGCATGTCATGCGAACCCAGCGACGGAGACACAAGCTAGCAACCTTGGAGCCTCGTGTATTGTGTGAGCCCGAGCGGTATAACTATGGTTCGGCGTGCTGTGGGAACCTAGGCCATTGGGCTAATTGAGTGAACCAGGGTAAAGTTAGGGATTGGGTATCTTGGGAGGGGCCAGAGAGGATTGCCTCATGTAAGTTGTGTGTCTGCAAAATGCTAACCCGTGGTTATGTGAACAGTGATTTACTGATTCAGATGTCTGGGATCACCCAGCATACTGAACCACATTCAGGTCTTTCGGGCTCTGGGGACCTTATTGTTTATCACACCAGTATCCCCCCCACCAAAAAACCCCTACCGTAGTGAAGCAGCACTCATGTTAGTACTGATAAGGGCGTGCAGGCATTTTTCTGGGTGAATCCCAATAAAGATATTTCTAGTGTTGTGCAGAACATTGTGAATCTGAAACGTTTCAAGCTCAACACACTGATTTTAGATACAGTGTGTTTTGACTGTTCTGAGCTTTAAATATTTCCATTTGGCATTCAAAACAGACATGTTTTGAGCTTGAAATGCATCTGGAATGGTTGGGACAGTATGAATACTTCCACTAAGATTGGAAGACTCATCTTGAACTGAGAGTAACCATTTGAAACTGAAAGCAGGGCAACTTGAACTCTAAATTTGATGTCTTGATCTCAAAACATTTTGCATTTTGTATACAGATGTTGTACTTTTATGGATTTTTTGTTATTTTTCCCCTCACGGATCTATAATGTAACAGAACATAAAGGGCAGAAATACTCCAGAGATCATCTAGTGCAAACCCTAACCCAGCACAGGGTTCTAGTGCTATAACAGTCCCAACAGCCATCCAGTTTCTGTTTAAAGGCTTCTTGTGACAGTATGCTTTATTGTTGAAGAGCTCTTATCAGGATGTTTATCCTAATGCTGAACTGTCTTCCTTGTAATTTAAATCCATCTTTTTTGTCATCTGGAACAACTCTGAACAATTCTGCCCATTTTTCTACATAACAATCCTTCAGATACTTGAAGACAGCTATCATGTATCAGGTCTCCAGGGTAAGCATACTCAGTGGCTCCAACTGGAATCTCATCTCAGTTGCTCTACTCTTAAGTTCCTCAGTTTGTCAATGTCCCTCCTAAAATGCTGTGCCCAGAACTGAACACAATATTTTAGATATGGCTTCACCAACCTATCTTTGTTTAACAACTTCCTCCTGATTATGTGACAGGAGTGTGCTTAATCTGTTTACTGGTTTAATTTATTTTCTGGGTTTGCATAATACTTTGAATCATAAACTAATCAAATAGTCCACATAACATGGTAAACACATACATATTCACATAGGGTTAAATTAACCAAACCTAACATGTTGTGGAAATGCAACTGCTAGGTTTTGAATTGATCATTATGTTTGTTGGGTGAACTGTAGCATTAAGGATTTGTAGCACATTAAAAACTAATATAATTGCACAAGTGTTCTGATGAAGGAGACAGTGATCCTTAAGCACTTATATCATAATAAATGTGTGGTCATTAAAATGCTTCAGTATTCTTTCAAATAAAATTTGCTAAGGCATTATACCTCAGCAAAATTCTGACAACAATAAATGTTTTATTTTATTTTCTCTCCACCTCAGAAAGTAAGAAAGATTTAGTCCTCATCTTAAGCTTGTATCTTTTACTCTAAAGTACGTTCCATTCAGCTCAACAGGATATATTCACTAGTAAGCAAGTTTAAAATGGCAGTGGCAGATTTCTTTTTCTTCTGATAATGTGTAGAGAGAGGATGTGTGAAGGAAGTCCTCCTAATTTCTATTGCTTGGAGGAATGCAATGGGCAGAGATTATTCTTTTTTAAAAAAAATTACAGAAGGAATCATGGGAGTTAGAGAACAATTAATGAAAACTCATCCTGGAAGGTTGGGAACATAATAGAGTAGATAAAAAAGAACCATGCTGGATCAAACCAAAAATCCATTTCATCCAGCACAGTGGCCAGTCAGACGCCTTTGTGAAACCCACTATCAGAATATGAGTTAAGTTGCTTTCTCCTACAGTACTTGTGTTCCCTGGCAACAGTGATCCAAAAACACCCTAGCTATGATGCTAAAGGTAATATATAACAATTCATTGGTATCTTTATCCTCCATGTACTTGCCTATTTTTGTAGCAGTCCAAGTTGGCAGGCATCACTTTATCTTGTGATAGCAAATTTCATAATTTAATAACATGCTGTGTGAAATACATCCTTTTATCTGATATGAATCTTTCACTGTTCAGTTTCATTGGATAACTTCAGGTTTAATATTAAGAGATTAATGGTAAGAGTAGAGTGTTGCTGACCCCAAAGTTGAGAAATTGTTGAAAAGTACAGTTAAATCAGAGTGAGTTCTCATAGTTCGACTCTTCCTCACACCTACAAAGGTGAGAATGGCTTGATCTGGGAGAGGGGAAATATCACATGAAAAGGGGAAAGAGAAGCTTATATTGGCATCCCCAAGGCTTGAGTTGCAGGTGGGGAGGATTTTATTACTGAACCCCTTAGAGGAAAAAAAAGGGTATTCTCTTGTTCTGAAAGGAAAAAAAAAAAGTGGGAAGGGCTAAGGAAGAAATACTTATAAGATGGGGAAGAACTTGTATTAGGTCTTCTCTAAATATTGCTTTGGAGAGGTGATAAAAGGTGAAGCTAATTGTTCCAAATGGTGCTTGGGAAGGCAGAGAAAAGAGTACCAAATCTAAGCTAGATTTAAAAAGAGGTTTTAGATGATTAATGTCAGGAGAGTGCTTTATTCACCATAGTAGAGGGGAAGATGAAGGTAGCTGATCACCTGGGTTTAAAGCAGAGGGATGACCTTCCTTAAAACGTATGATAAGGGAATCCATTTTTAGACTTGTATAGCATATTTAGCTTCGTATATCACACTAAGCCATAATGTGTTTTGGTTTAATTTAGCATAGCCTTTGAATCCAGCATTTGCTATTTGTAAATCATGGTTTATAGGTTAGGATATTGTGAAAAGCAAGAAAATTCAACAAACCATAGTTAAGAATTATGGCTTATAACTAGTCATAATATTGAAGTACTGGGAGTGGGAAGGACTAGATTCAAATTGCCATTCATTCACAACATTTTCTGAGAGTTCTTGATCAACCCCACATCTTTCACCATAAATTATGCCATAGGGTTGCTGTCTGAATAGAGCAATGTGTAGGGGTCTGGGGACAAACCCTGTAAACTGCTCTGCACTCCTTGTTGAATGATGAGGCAAAATGTAATACATTTGGGAGGCATAAGAAAAGGCTCCTATACTTGTTATAAATCTGTTCTGCTTGTTTTCCAGGCTCATGCTGCTACAGAAGAAATTAGCAAACTTTGAATCCAAAACAAAAAGCGAAAATGTAATAGAAGAACCCAGTATCCAGGTAACAAATCTAAAATTCCACTTTTTAAAACATTGACATTTTGTATAACTTCTGTTTTGTTGGAAGTTACAAGATGTGTCATTTGTATATTGGAAAGCATAGAAGATTTGGATTGTCAACATAGTTTAGTTACCTTAACAGATTGTATATCTGCTTAGAAGGAAACTCTTGTATCTTGATTATATGCATATATATAACACATTGCAGTGGCCTGATTTATAATTCATTTGCCCTCTTTTGAGAATCAGTTTCTTTGGGTTAAGTGCACTGGCTCAGTTTGGGTATGCATGTTTTAGATTAAGAAACTAAAATGCACTCAAGATTTGCACCAGTTGACTCCATCTTTTACTTCCCTTTCCCTCTGTATAGTTGACCCAGAAAGTGTTCAACAGATTTCTGTTGCACATAGAACAGATGTTATGTTTTCTAGGACCCTATAGTTGACCATGGTAACCAGGATCACATGCAACTTAGAGGTCTTTTATTGAAGATTTTCTGTGATAAACATAGTGTGTTAAGAAGGGAAGAATGTCATAAGAATAAAGCATGTAGACTCTGCTTATTAAGCTGAGATACATACAGTATGCCTGAAGTAAACTCCTGCATTCAAGACCTTGAAATTAAATGTTTCCTTTTAAGTCTGTTTATGGTCATAAATGGTTTGGTGTGTATTGGCCCCTGTTGATGGTTTTGTAGAGAAAGAGCCAGATACTGTTTTTGTTCAGTGAGGCTCAGTATGATTTCAGGGGCTTCTTGTGATCACAGGAATTTGAAAATATGTCACTGAGAAACAATTTGCAAGGTAAACAGCAAAGGGTGGAATATATTAGCCTTAGTGGTATTCCTAAGGTGAAGTTGGTTTTAGGTTTTTAAAATGTGATGGGCTTTTAAAAATTGTTAATATTTACAACTGAATGATCAAATACATTTAAATGTTTACACTGTTTTTGTTGCAATGTTATTTGAAGCCTTTATGACCTTTAGATGAGTGTTTTTGCTTGTTCAAATTGCCATCTTAGGGTCAAATGTTTGTTTTTAAAATTATTATTGGCATTTTATATTACAATCGTTTATGTAGATTCTGAGACTGTTCAGATACTTTGTCAGAAAATTGGCAGCAGTATTCATAATGTAAGAATATTCTTCTTTTTACCTTCCAAATAGAAGAGGGCAAATCTCATCCTTCTACAAACAAATAGATTTCACGGTCTGCACATGCTTCTAAAAATGAACAAAAACTATGAACTAGAATGAGGGTCTTAATTTATATATACATACAATATGCCTTTTATAATATAATCTGCATACTACTTTACACTTTATAAGCCATTCATTACTTCAGTGCTCTACTGAAGTGAGCATTTTTGCCCATTTTACAGTTGGCTAACCAGTATACAACATGGAATGTGGTTAGTTTGATTTTGGCTTAGCATGTTGTGCAAGCCAGACCATTGTGATTTGTAAGTGAAATGTGAATGGGCAGCATTGATTTGGATCTGGGAAAGAAGTCTTCCGCTTCTGTTTACTAATTTTTGTCATTATGCCACTTCATGAATGCAGTAGCATGACTGTCTTCTATATTGCATAGCAACACAAAGCACTGTGTTTTAGTATCTTTTTAAATTTCCTGTCTTGTTTTTAGCTGCAGCTATTACAGGAAGATTAAAATTGCTTTTGAAAAATGCTTTTCAGCTAGGAGGAAGGATGCAGCAATGCTGTATTTTAAAGTAAAAATTTTGGGAGTTCATATAACTACAAATAGGCTTTGATTTGTCTTGACCATACCTCCCTCACATTCTTATTGTGAGATTCATTTTAGACAACAAAGTGTTGTGAAATTGATTGTCCTATCATTGCCCTGTAGGTACAACACAGTAGTCAAATCTTTCTTTGTAACATTTGGTAATCAATATCATTCTGTAATCCACATTTTAATCAATGAGATGAACAGGGAGCAATAAATGTTGCAAAAATATTGAAAGTGCCAAAACACAGTAAGCACGTGCTTTGTTAATGGATAGTCTATTGTTTAGTCTTCTAAATCTCTAGGTAGTATTGGAAAAGTTTCTGATCTGAAACCGATCAAACAAAGGTAGCTAAGTTCATAGGCATTTTAAACCATTATAAAATTTATTTGGTTTGGGCTTACGTTGCGCCAACCCAAGTATTGTGATTAATAAACTATGGTTTATAGCATGTTATGAATTATGAATTGGCTGTTAGTGGCTTATTCATTGAACCATTATAAAATGAATCATAGCTTACTTAGTGTAATGTGTGAATCTCTCATTGAATTAGATGGACAATTTCCTGTGAGGTAGAGCTACCTTAAATCTTGGTACAATATAGGAAGATCTGCAAAAAGCAAATGCATGGTGAAGGATGATCAGGGAAGCAGAAGTACATCCCATAGATGGCTATTTCATTTGTAGAAACTGGAAGCAATGGCCATTCACCTCTGTAACAAAATATCAATGGTATTAGGATAAATGAATGAAAATCCTTGCTTTTTCTTGAGAGAAATAACCACCCAGAGGAGGAAAGTAATGGATTGAGGGTATGCAAAATGTTCTGTCATAAAATGTTTCAGTTCCATTCTGAAAGAAAACAACTCCGAACAGGGTTTCCAAGTCTTCTGAAGTCAGCCAATTTCTGGGACAGCAGATTGTTCTGTGAAGTTCTCTGGACCACTTCTGGAACATTGTTAGGAATGGACCGTTCTGGGGTTGGGATATTCTGTGACCAAACATTTTGCGCAGCCCTACAGTGGATGTGTAGAGTAATGGAAGATTTAAAAAAAACAAAAAACTTTCATCCTGAAAATTGTCAGCCATATTAAGTAAATTGTAATTACATTTCACTTTATTGATTAAAGCGTGCAAGTATCACAGAAGGAGTAAACCTTCAAGTGAGGAATAATAAGAAAGAAGATAATGTTCTTGGAAGCCCTGCTAGATGCTACATGCTCTGGTATGTAGTGCTCCTACATTCATTATAATCTGAATTAGGGAACTTGTTTTCTGATCCTTTAGCCATTTGGATATATCAGCTCATTTTAAATCTAGGAATGACATTGCCATTGCATAATCTTTTCCAATTACAGATAGTCCTTTGGTTAAGAATGCCTCATTTAAGGACAACCCATAGTTAAGAACGGAGCCTGTAATAGCAAAATTCGACTTAAACACACATTGATTCGAGTTAAATACACAATGGTTCGAGTTAATTACACAATACTACTTATACAGTATTA